CGACTCAAGACTTCGAAACTTCCAAAAATGGCTTTTTGAGCATGGTTTGGTCTACCTAATAATATTAATGCATCCCTAAGTCTCTTAAAAGGATCAACCACACACAAAACACATATGGTGCACTTCTATATGAATAGGCTCATGTTTTTGAAATATTTTCGTGCACGAGATAACTAGGAATGCAGATGAGACTCGATGATACCGTCCTAAATACAAAGTACTAAGTAGACATGTTTTGACATCATTAAAATAAGGATCAAGACAACTTTCCCTCACATTGATCACCCAACCCATAATGGAGACAATTGGCCCAGCACTTGGGGTTATACAAATACCCTTTTTTGATGGAGGGTCAGGTATTTAATTCAATTTTTAACTTATGTACTTGCTTTTTTTCACTCTGAACTGACTTTAGCATCGGAGTGCCTTACAGGTACATTACCCCCCCCCCCCCCCCATCGTTTTCCTCACCTGACGTTGGAGACCACGGCGTATTGCTGGCCACCGATTCCTTCTGGTCACTAGTAAGATCATTGACATTATTGGCATGGTCTGCCATTGCCTCCTTTTCTTCTAGTATCACCTATGAGCTGGCCTAAGGGAATATCCTTTTGAATCAAGTATCATGTAAGTATGTGACACTCTATAAAAGCATTGTATGTACAAAATATATCTGGCACACAATGTACATCCTCTAGGATCGGATAATCATAACACTCCATAAATATCTCATTAATATTTCTATGGAAGACAGTAGCAAGATCCATAGCAGAGGGATCTTTAGGTATACCTTGTGCTACCTAAACTGGCGTATGACTTGTTGGACAAGTGACTTCAGCACAAGATGGGGTCAATTGTGGTATTCAAAATTCACAATTAATTTTAAGGTTTTGTTACTTAGAAAATAAATTGTGTTTGTTTCTTTTGCATCAGAGAACAATTAGTTGTGGAATGTAAAATCAATAAAGTAAATCGTAAAAAGTAAAAGATAAGGGTTTAGAGAGATGACCCCAATGATTTATCCATGTTCGGCCGTCCGTTGGCCTACTCTTGTCGCCAAGAGATCTTCTGAATATTTGACTATAAACTTAAACTTTTACAAGTTATGCCCACGAACCTTGATACAATCTGATCTTGATATTTTAAAAAGGCTTATCCCCAACCAAAATGAGAGCTTTTTCCCAAACTAAGCTAACAAACTGATTAGATATTTTCCAGGCTTATCTCAATAATCAAATGTAACTTTTTCTGCCAAAGTTCTAAAATCAAAACAGATATTTTGACTAGTTTATCTCAATAACCAAACTCGATTTCTCAAGAGTATCACACCCTTGATTTATAACAACAACACAACACCAATATAATTCCTCACAAGTAGATTTTCAATCAAAGGCACTAAGGTAATTTAAGTGAGAAAATATTTTCAAAGAGAGAAAAAAAGAGATAAGTTCCAAAGAAAATAGAGAGCTTTGGAAAATGGTGTAAAACGAGGAGGAGAAGAGTCCCCTTTATATAAGAGAAAAAAAATCCAAAAAAGGAAAAGATCCATAGGCGTTTTTAATGGCCCAATCGATTAGCTTTTAACCTCAATAGATCGGATGTGTGAAATAATCAATTATTATGACTCATTTTAGAATGTTTGGATTGAGAGTCGTTGCCAATCATTAAGACATTGTCATGATCGATTGTACAATCATTTAGGAATCATCCTATTGATTGGCTTAAGGTCCTGATCGATTAGGTAGTTTAAAAAAGTTTTTCCAATCGGTTGGCTTATGGTCTCAATCATTTGGATAGTTAAAAAATGATTTTAAAAGGAAGCTGACAATCTCTTATTCACTTGGATTGGCCTTGAAATATTTTTATGAGATTTGATAGTTAGAAAAGAGGTTTTAAGTGTGTGTCTGAGTTGCCTTAGTATCTTAGGATGTAGCACAAGTATAGTGAAATTAATACCAATAAGAGTGCAAAAATAGTACCCTAAATAGTTAGTTGTTTCCTACAAACCGTCTCGTCATTCATAAACTACCTTCATTATATACAAAAAATAAACTACCTTCATTATATACAAAAAACGAGTCACCACCTAAATATATTGTAAGATATAAACTAAAATGCAATAAAATATGTGTCACCACCTAAGCCTATATTTATGGGTGGGTCCGTCTTTGATTTTTTCTGATTTGATTCTCTTTCAATCTCGTTCAACTTGGTGAACTCTTCCATCCGATCCAAAATTTTATCTGACCAGGTTTTAGCTTTTTTAGTGAAACTTGTACTTGTTAATCTTATATGTTAAATAAATTATCAACACCGTGGGAATGTGTTAAACAACTTAATTGAATCAGGATGAGTGCAAAATATATCTCGAACGATTTTTTCATCCTCACACATTTTGCACATAGATACATAATGATCATCATCCAAAAACTTCAACAGTTGTTGCATTTCAAATCTTGAACCTTTTACCGCCTTTGTTTTGGGCACAAACATTGTATACTTGTTTAATATTTTAGATGTTTTGAGGTCTTTTTGAATTCAAAATTGCAAGTATGTTTCTAGGCTGCGCCATATGCAACGTTATGTCAGAAACAATATCATTCTCTTCATAATTAAGGCGACATCCAATGGAATGACCAACCAATTTATAACAGAAGTCATTATTATTTATACCACAAACCACATTAAATGTCCAATTATCATTCGCCTTAAGATAACCCTACAACTTAAAAGTACACTCACATTTTCTCGTTTTAATGTCATCCCGTTTCAGCTTCCGGATAGGATTTTAGTAGTTTCCACTTATTTTACATGTCATCGTCATAAATGTCGGTCTTCTATCAAAGCCAGAATCTGACCTTTTGATAATAATGTCTAACTCTAATTTGGCAAGCTTCGTGCCTATCCATTAGAGCATATAGTCATGAATAGCAAACTTGTGTTTAATTGTAAAAAAATCAACATCTACATGGACAACACCCAGTACCTAGACATCACTCAGTTTAACATTCATAGACACGCCAACTTTAGGGACATCGTTAGGGTGCATCATTGCTACAACCAGTCATAATAAAATTAAATTAAAATTCATCACGAAAATATTCTGGATTTTATTCTTCTGAATAACAGAAAACATAATCTGGATTTTAAAATGCGGACATAACGTTTGTTTTTCAGCAGAAAAATCAAATTCTTACAAGAAATGAAGAAGGAAATACATGTACGTTACCTTAAATTTTAGTTTTTTTTTCTCCTTTTGATGTGAAAAATAAAAGAATATGGTTTGAAGTACAAAACATGATTGAGAATGGAATGAGACTTTTGTAAGATTTTGCGAGTATGGTGGTAAAAAAAATAACTGATAGTCGATGCTTGATAATTGATAGCTTATGGTTGATGAATGAGATAACTTATAGCTAATGACAAATAACTAATAGTATATAGTTGATGATTAATAACTTATATCTGATGATTAGTAATTGATAAGTTAATTTGAGTGTTTAATAAATTTACAGTTACACTAACGGATAAAAACAAAATGATATAAAAGGACATAAAATGAGATTCTTAATTATAAAATTGGTAGTCCCATTATCTTTTATATAATATTATTAAATTATTTTTTATTTGATAAAAATAAATATATTAATAAATCCATCAAAATATTTAAATATATATGTCAAATTAAACATAATACAAAAACATATTAAACGTTTATATATAAATTTTATAATGTAATTTAATACAATACATAAAATAATAACATTAATTTAATTATATTAATCTAAAATAATAAAATATATATATTTTTAGTAAAATGAGTTTTAGATTACAATAAAATATAAAAAAATGAAAATGAGTTTTAAATTACAATAAAATATAAAAAGTGCGAATGAGTTTTTGTTAAAATAATAAAACTACAAAATCAAAAACTAATTCAAATATGAAAAAAAAAAATTATAAACCAGTAAAAAAAACTACAACCTACCGGCTAAAAGATAGTTATCAAATATATTTTTTATTAATATATTTTTTATTTTACCAAACAGAATCTTTATTTCCACTTCAATTTTAATTCTTAAATTTCAGTTTATTATTCAAAACTTAATTATTAACCTTCTATAATATAAAATTACGAAATCATTTAAAAATATGGAACTATGATAATGACTTTACATTGAAATTTGTAAACTTGAATTCCATGATTTTTTTATTTTTTTATCAAATCTATCAATAAAATATTGCATTCTTGACTATTTAAACTATTTACTAATCTATTTTCTAGAATAAAACTTAAATTTTACGGTACAATTCAAGTTAATTCTTATATAACAGTACCCTTTTTTTAATTTTAATTTCAATTTCAAAATCACATTTCTATTATTAAAAGATAATCATGAAAAATTAGATGTACAAATATACAGTACCTGCCACTTATTAAAATCTCTGAAACAGGAATCAAAATGATATATTATTATATTACCAATAAAAACATTTTCTTCAAATCAAACAAGTCTTAACGTATTCTATGTTTTTTCAAATATGGGTTTCAAATTCAAACTAGGAATTGGAATAAATATTAGAGTATGCTTCTGAATATCAATAATAGTGTTTCCATGCCCAGTATCTGGCAGTGCATGATCATTTTCAACATTTCATACTTCAGCAAATGTAATTACATGGAAGATTTGTTCATTCATCTCAATTTACACAATGATTTTAATTTTAAGCACCATAATTAGGCACTGATAACAAGACACGCGCTAACTAAGTAAATGAATGATATTCAAGCATCAAACATTGCTCTGACCAGTCACCAAGATGCAGCAAAAAAAAAGAGCATGAATTAGTGCCTTTGTAATTTTTACTTGCAGGCCTAAAACCTGAATAACATATATTTCAAATTGAACACCCAAAGAAACCATCAAGGTTATCGTCCCCAACTCAAAAGTTAAAATGGGACAGAATCTATGTATCCGGGTAGTTTGTTCTTTATGAGCTTATTTGTCAGGTTGTTGAAGATCAATTTCCCAGCCTGATGCCAACTGCAATAAAAGTTGATCTGGAGGAACACCTTCCCAGCCCTCTGTGGTATCTGTTGAAGCGTCGTGTAAATTCCGCAAGAGCTCTTCCTTCACTTCCATGGGAACGCCAAAAGTATCTGGGCCATTTTCGAATAACACCTCCACCAACTGAGTATTATGGTCACAAATTTAGTATCTTAAGCCTCATATGAAAGATATAAAGCTTGCAGAAAAGGAAAACAAATGCAGCATTGCGTACAATGCAGTGGAATCGCCAAATGCTAAACAGTTGACGAATTGTTAAAAGTCCAAGAAATGAACATGTTTTTTAATGTGTTATCTTATACTATAATCAATCATTTTCTGAACCTCATTGTTCAAATGCATCTTGAAGATGAAAAGGTAACATTCTATTAATCTTGAGAAGCCATTCCAAATAACATGGTTCTAAACTAAAGCAATAAGGTTATATTGTTCTTTGAATTTTAATGGGTTAAGAATACATGTGTAATTTAAATTAAATAGTGGTCAATGATTATTCTAGCTAACTTTAAAGATAAAAATCACTTCAGAGGAGATTTATTCCAACAGAGAAGATTGCTTTGAAATCTGCTAAATAAAACAAAAAATAAAAATAAAAAGAACCTGCAAGTTACAAACAGATTGGCCACAACTATGTTGTATCATATGCTAAATTGCTAATCCAAACAAGGATACAAAAATCCCCAAAAATAAAATTTCAAAAAAAGGTCTTGTAACTATAACACAATGACTGGTTAAATAGGACAATAAATTACGGCCTTGAGTAACAGGGTGATCTTCATTGAAGGGGGGATCTATGTCATTTTGACTAAGTAATCATTTTGTCTAGCTGGTGACCGTGCAGAAAAAACAAAATGCATCCCAATCCTCCAACGAAACATTAAATATATTAATAGATTGCACAGCCTGAGATCTATCATTTAAAATCATCAGGAGCAATGTTGTTAAAGACAAGAGTCTTCGTAGGTTCAGAGAGGAATTGAAAGACCGTAACTTGAGGATTGTAACCCATATCGGAAAATCCTACTAATATAAAAAGCATATACTTATATAATACATATTGATAAGCCTATGAACTGTATAGGAGGGATGGATAAAAAAGGGAATAAGGAAGAGGGCAGAGGGGTCCACATGAAACCAGTGGTAATGCTGGAAAGAATTAAAGATGAAGGAATTGAGGAGCTGGTGGGGACAAAGGGACTAACGAACTTCACACATGGCAGTCAAGGAGTGGAGGGAAGGGTGAGAGTGAGGGAAGGAGACATGTTTAAAGGGGAAGGTCACGCATGATGGAGGGGCATCTTGGGATTGGAGTAAAATCAGGGACTGGGAGTGGGAACCTTCCTCACACCAGTAATGATGCTCATTATTGAAAAATAGTTGTCACCTTTCTTGTAATTGTCATTACTGCAAGAAGTTGTTGCTCCAGCCATTATATTTCTATTCACTATCATTGAAACTGGGTTGACCCTCACTCTTAAGATAAAATGTAATCTCTCCGTTTCAAAATGACTATCATTCTCACTTCTCGATGTATAAATGATTGTTATTTTTCCTATTATGTCATTTAATTATTACTCCTTACACTACTACACTACTTCCAACACATTTATAGGGATAATTTAATAAAAGTGTAATAGTTTATAACAATATCATTTCATTTTTTAATCTGTGGGTAAAAACCTTAAACAACAGTCATTTTGAAACGGAGAAAGCTAATCACTATTGTTGCTACCATTTTATACTACTAATGTGTTATACAGCTATCTAGAGCCTATCTAGAGTCTACTACATATACATAAAAATCATCATAGGTAAAGCAAATAATATTTAAATCATAAAATTAAACTAACTACAAAAAAACTATTAGTTAATGACAAATTTAGGGGTAAAAGCTTAGTTTATTGCCTTTGTATGTTTTTTTTATGTGGAGAGCCTAAAATGCCCAGTTATTTTTTATTAATATTATGTATTATTTTCTATTTTTTAGAGGATTAATTATTATTATTATTATTATTATTATTATTATTATTATTATTATTTGTTTTTATCAAAAAATCATACTATTTAATTTCAATAGTCACAGGTTATGTCATACAGCTGACATTGGGTTTTGCAAAGTGCCTTTCCCTAATAGCACTTCTTCACTTCCCAACGTATTGGATTTCATATTTTTCAAATTGTTTGACTTTTCAACCCTCTGTCCTTATTTATTTTTTGGTTAAATATTTCTCTAATTAATAATGCCTCCCCGACTTCATCTTCTTCAATTTCTATTGTGTCTATGCCTCTTCGTTGATGCTCCTCTACGAATGCAAACTCCACCGCAAAATTGAGCAGTGACATCCTCTGTTTCGGCCACACCTTAAAAAACGACACACCTGTGGCTGTTTGGCGCTGCCCATATGTATTATCATAATAACCCGACCCAGATTCATTTTATTAAAAATATGGTCCAAAAAATTTGGCCCAATTCATCAAATAACTTGACAATTCACCCCAACTATTATACCGAGTTTACCCGATCCCATTCCGTCCGACTTCACTGGCATCAGAGCAGCTGTGTTGAATCATAAGATCGTCCAACTCTACGAGTAAACACGCGAGTTTGCATACACTGATCAGGAGATTTAGACATTAGATCTTGAGACATTGGAATGCCTAGTTTCGAAATTAATTAGTCATTGAACCCATCAATATCAATAATGTTGAGTCAATTTTATAGATGATTCATTCCAGCAAATTCAAACTAGTTTTGACTTTTATAAAATATCCAAACAATTAGAAATATCATCCATTTATCTATATTTGGGAAATGGAGGGCGTTCATTCATATGATTAGGTTCTATATTATGACTAATAAAAACAAAATTTAAACAGAAGAGAAGCCATACCTGTTGAATCCAAGACAAGCAGATGTTAAACAGGTCCTGCTCCGGTAAGAATTGTCCGATGGCATACAAGATCTCACAAGCAATGTCATTTGAAAGTTCATTAATTACAGGGCCTGTTCTATCCATTAGTTTTACAAGCAAACGGTCATCTCCAGTAGTCAACACCTCAGCAAAGGCTGAATCTATGTCACCTGCTTGAAGGGCGTCGTTTGCATTACTCCAAGAAGTCCAGATTGCATCCCTCTCTTGTCCAACACTGTCATCAGCCAGAGCTTCTGCAGTCATTTCGGGGATTGCTACTCTTGTTGCTCTAGATGGTCCATTGTCTTCACCAGCAACCCGAATTGCTTCCAAGGTAGCTTCATCTTTAGAAGCCTGCCAAACACTCCTTGCAGAGGGCCCCTCACCAAGCCGGATGGGCATTGCTGCTTTATCCCAAGCTCTCCTGCTGCCCCCTTGATCACTCTCATGCAATGAATTTGGTGATCTTCCATCAACAGAACTACCACCAAAAGCCCTCCTTGAGGAGATCTGGCCATTTCTAGAAGCACCATACCCAGAAAAATCCCAACCCTCAGGCATGTCAGATCTCCAAGATGGCCCTCTTCCCCTCATCCCCAAAGCATTCCCATCAGTTTGGGTATACCTTTCATTATATGGGATGCGTCCGTCACCACCTCTTCCATACTTAGCATTGGAGTAATCATTAAAACCATTATATTTGCTAGAAGGCCGAGTAGATGATCCCTCAAATCTCCGGCCTGATGATATAGATAAATCTTGTAACATATCTTCAACAATTCTCTCAAGACCTCGTACTCTGTTCTCTAGAGTCACCATACTATCATGAGATCCACCCATGAAATCCTGCAAAGTTGTTAAAATATCTATTACTTATTATTACTTGCGAAGAATATATACTAGAACTGATATTTTGTGCCATTCAAAACCTACCTGCAGCATGTTCATCAGATGAACCTGTTGTCTTTCAAGCTGTGTTAATTGTCTTTGGATGGCCAACAAGTTTCCTCTATTATTGGAGAAGGGTACTTCTGATTGACCATCAGCTCTAGAAAAACCTGCAATATTGGAGGAACCCTCTCTCTGATCATTTTCAGTCCTGTCATTTGTATCGTTTGGTTTGGTCCTTAGTTCTTTCGCATTCATTCTCCTCTCAGAGTATCTGTCTTGGGCAAAGTCGTCATAATTTCTCTGTCTTAAATTCCCATCATTTCCTTTTTCTAAACCATGATATTTATTATTGACAGATCGATGAAAGCCATCATTAGGGACATTTCCAACAGGATTCGTTCTTTCGTTTAAATCTTTAGCACTTGCCTCTGACTCTTCCTCGTTGTTTGAGGATGAAGAATTGAGGCATCTGCGAGGAACAACCACTTCCACTGGTAAATCATCAGAGCTCCTTTTCTCAAGGTTTTGGAAAAATTCTGGGTTTAGTACTTTGTCATTTAAGACAGGTGGTTTCTTTTTTAAAATTACAACTGCCTTCTCAGAGACGCTAGCCGCTTTGGCTTTAGAATTCGAATCCGTGTTAGAACTGGTTAGTAATTCTTTTACTGATGGATCAATCCTCCTCTCATCAGTATTTACCTTTTTCAGGTCACTTGTTTCTGACGAAACAGCTGGATCAGGATTCCCGCCATCTAAAGCATAAAAAATCATTACAAAGATAAACCAGGACAAAGTGGTTGGTGATTGGATTACCACAGACAAATTAAATGTGCTTACCAGACGACAAGGGCTTTGAATCATGAGAAGATCCATCTTCTTTCCCTGCAATTTTTGTCCACAGCTGCAATGCCTCTGTCATGCTATCCCTCACAGGTCTTATCTGCAATCAATAATATTTTTTTCTGAAAATAATTAGATGACTAAAAAGCAGGGTTGTTAATCACGGATAGCAGAAAATAGCATATAGTTAAAATTCCACTACACAATAGTGATACAGTGCCAGTCTGGCGTGCTATTTGCCAACATTTTGTACTATATAGCACAGCTATAGTATAGATGCCATTTAATATTAATAACACTGCTAAAACGAAACAAAAACAGTTCTCAAGTAATGAAGCCTCAACATATTACAAATCTACCATTCTAGAACAGCTAATTATCAGCCCTGACTCTATGTGATACTTTTGTCATAAATACTGACTAGACTAGTCACGAGAATATGCAACCAATTTTCTGCAGGCACGTAATTCTTTTGGTGCTATTTAAAAGAGGTACATCATACACTATATTGCATGCAACACAATTCAAGAAAAAAAACATATCCTATATTGTCACCTCCTTTTATGTTTTGGTGACATGAAATCCCTACACTATTGAATTAATTCATTTTCAGGGACGGGTTATTTCATGAAAATAAGATTAGTAAGAAATTGAAAGATAATGTGGCATTCAATACAAGCGACTCAAAAAACAAATATGGCTTGGCAAGAAATGATATGAAAATTGCATTGCAAAACCTACCTTGTCACACCGACAAGCCTCGAGCAATGCCACTGTGGGCGCCGCTTTATCAGTAAGCAAACTGCTTGAATGCAAAGCCAAAGAACTTAATGCCTCTGCTGCTGCTTTGCGTGTTGCCCAATCACTACTGGAGAGACAGTCATGAATGCTAGATAGCAAATTTTCCAAGCTTTGTGGTGCAATTGCCCCAGCCTGCAATTGATACTCAATTAACTCTAATCTTTTTTTTCAATATTTTTCTTCTATCACATAATGATAATTTGGTAATCTATGAAAGAAAATAACTAATCAGCCTTCCAAATTCGACAAACACATTATGAGGTCAACAAAACAGAAATAAATTAATATGGATCTCTTTTGTCTTTGCCACCATGCAGCCAAGAAGAAAATTAATAGAATCGGACAGATCTTCAACAGAAATAACCTTCACCATTAGAATAATCATTTGCAGTTACCAGAACCACTCTCTGAATCCCATCATCATCCTAGTTGCACATGAGTCATAGCCATGTCATATTGAGCATTCTTAATGTTGGGACTCTAATGTCAACATGTCTATCAAAATCTTAGTCCGTAAAAATCCTAGTGAATCAACTACAGTAGATAGAAGCTAAATTTTCAGCCAGCAATCCATCCACCCAAATTTAGCCTTCATCTGAATTACCAGTTTTGATATCAGTCAGAGGTAGCAGTTAGCAATCATGTTAAAATTCAGGATATCCAGAATAAACACAAGTTCCATTTAAATAAATTGAACAGAACAGGGTTTATAAATGATACAGTATGGTTCTACTAAAACAGAAGGAACAAAGAAGACTGAACCACTTTATTTGGTTACTGTTCTCTCCATTCACCAAAGGCCATAGATAGATATCTGACACAATTTTAACTAACCAAATTTTATTTAAATTTAACTGATATACACTGAAAGTGTTAAAAAGCCTTACACTGTCATCAAATCATATTTTATCATTGTTGTATCAGTTTGTTATATAACTGAGATTAATTACTGTGCTGATTGACATTGCATAGAACTGTTTACATATATATACCTGGACTAGGATAGTTTTATTGGGTCTAAAAGGGAATAGCCCATGATAAAGCAGCCCAACCCATGTGCAGCAACACTGGGCGGGCTGGCACCGGGTCGCCCGACTGGGCCTAGGTCACCCCGCCCAGTTTTGGATCCACTTATCATCCACTACCCGCACGTGGCTAGTGAGGTGTCCCGAGGATAGCAGTTTGAATGGTTACAGTCAAAGGGAGAAAAATGGTTTCCCCACAACCTGAGGCAGAACTGGCCTTTCCCTGTTTCCACGCCTTCACCAGGAAACTAGGAGAAAACCGATTCTTTCCTTCTGAGCCAGCCTAAAAGGTCCAGATAAATACTCCAACTGAGGCTTGGAGGATTCATTCACTAATCCACAAAACCCTAATATACATACAGAGAGTCTCTTATAGTCTCTTACTATCTATATAAGCTAACTCTCTCCAAACTCGATTGTACGTTTTGCAAGTACAATATCCAAACAAATCACAACATGATGCCACTCTGTAATGTTGGTTCCTAAAATATCTCCATGATGAGATATGAATGGACAACAACAGGCCAACACATTTACATTAAACTCCTTAATAAACAATTTCATAATTCATATCAACAATCACGAAAACAAAAACAAAGTCATCAAATAAAATCAGCATTTGACATCAAACCTGAGACAATGCAGCAACCACAGGTAAAATCGCAGCCTTAGCCAAGAAATTAGGGTTATTAATCAGCTTGCAGATCCTAGGGCACATCTTCTGAAAAGCCCCCACCGGCACAACCCCCGCATCAACATCATTCACAGCAGCAGTAGATTCAACTATCTTCGCCATACATACCGCCGCCCCTGCCTGAACACCTTTATTCTGTTCCCCCATTGCCTCAAACAAAGGCTTAACAAACAACCCAACAAGCGAACCCCCACTCCCATTCCCATTATTCTCTCCTCTCAAATAAAGAGCCGCAATCGCCCCAATCGAGTCTCGGCACGCGTCGCGGGAAGCCGAATCGGTATCTTTAAGCCGCCGGACTATATTGGAAATGATTTTAGTGAGGTGCGGTCCCGCGGAGTGTTGGTGGGAGGAACAAACGAAGGATAGTAAACGGAGGGATTCGTTTTTTATAGAGGGTTTGGGGTCTAAAATGGCGTCGTATAGACAGTTAAGGATCATGGGAATGGCGTCGGGGGAGAGGGTTAGTATGGTCTTTTCGAGATCTTCAACGGCTATTTGGTGGGTGTCTCGGTCGGAGAGTTTGGAGAGGGAGGTTAAGATCTTGTGTTTGAGTTCAACCATTTGTAAATGGGTTGATACTGATGAAGATCGTGAAGGTGTTGGTTGGTTTTGAGGTTTAGTGTTCTTCATTTTTGGAATGTGAGTGGAAAAGGTGAATGGAGGAAGAGATAGTGGGAGAGAGGTGAGGTTGGTGGATTTGGGGTTGAGAAAGGAAAATGTGAACTGATTAGAGTTTGGAGAAGAGGATGGAAAGAAATGCTAGATCTGCGGGAGTGTGGGAAATTAAATTCTATGAGATTCAAGTTTTCAAAAATGAAAAATACAAGGTAAATTACATTGGTTTCCTTTTCTATAGTATTATATTAAATATAAATATAGCATAATTTTCTGTTGAGACGTGGGGATATGAAAAATCTGAATTACTTATAGTAGATAGGTTACTTGATTATTTGCACTCATTTCTTCTAAAAGATGTGATTATTTACTCTTTCTTAGATATAATTACTCATTAAATTCTTTAATTTAATTTAATATTTCACTTGAGTTTTTTAATTAAAAAAATATTACATTCTAATCACTTAAAAATGATTCATCACTTACATTAAATTCTGGAAATGACACTGCTTTGTCGAAATAGTTGAAATCTTCAATAAACTCGAGAAACAACACTGACTTATCCAACAACCTACACTCTTGCAAACAATCGCACGACGAATCAACTCTCGACACCTGAAACAACTCAGAGAAGTAGAAGTTTTTCTCCCACTTGTTTCAATCCCGCTCCTACTAACAAGCGGTTAGAAAAACAAACGAGTACCGACAGTGTTTCACACACATGTCGCGTACTATGGGACAACCAACATTAAAAAAACTGTCCGGACGATTCGACCTGCTCTGATACCATTGTGTAACACCTTAAACCCCTAAACTTATATTTTAAGAAATGCATGACAATCTAAAGGTGTCACCAACGATAAAACCTTTAACAAAATTAACATTTAACAATCAACGAAACATTGCAGCGGAATTACTAAGATCAATCAACACATGTCATAGCACGCTCACCTTCATTTGGGGTATCATTGTGGCAGTATTATTCCTATTTTGATTTAAATAAAACAGTCACAACAAGACATTAAGTCTCAAACTTCCACTTAAATAAAATATTTTCAAAAAAGAGAGTCCTCATAAGCAATTCTCAACAACTTCAACATAGAACCAATTAAAGGTTTAAACTCTAACAAAACATAATAATCAAATAACGTTCTCGACCCTGATGTTACAGAATCAGAGCAAGATTTCTAACAACGAAAACTAAATGAAGTAACTCCATGAGCTAACTTTCCCTTACAGCAACAAACTTTACTCATGAGTATCTACAAGATGTCCATGTTGTACAACATGAAAGCAAAAGGGGTGAAGAACATACAACATGCACACATTTAATTACATAACCAATAACCACATAGTCCCACACCCTTCAAAACAACATGTACATATTCACATCCAATCAACAACATCATGAACAATTAAATACATATGCAATCATTTATGCATATGTACTCCATAATTAATGCATTATGAATGTCGTACCATTCATGAATACTCAGGTTTATTTTGCTCCTGATCCCCACCATAGGACCAGAGCACACCAAATCGTTACTATCACCATGGGTAACGCTTCACCAACCCCCACTTGGAACCGGCTACACACTCCAGATCCTCACCATAGGATTAAAGCACACCAAAGCTCGTTACCATCACCATAAGTAATGATTTACTAGTTCCTTACTAGAACTAACTACTCACTCCCGATCCATACCACTAGACCAGAGCATATCAAAATTGTACCGAAGTTCGTACACCATGATGCATGACTCTCAATAACATGAATGTTCACCAAAAGAATCACCAATCACATCTAACCATTTATGCACAACATCATTCTTCATGTGCAACCATTAATAAATGTTACCACATCAATAACACAACAAACAACAACAACTCAACGATTGTAACTTCACCAAAATAACAATACATCATCGTAAAAACATAATTGTTCTGGACTGGGCCGACGCTTAGCCCACAACCAAGCAGGCCCAAGCCCCAATGAGGTTGGACCCAAGAATACCACGTTGACGGGCAGAAGTCTCGTCGAGCACCACCTATCCCCGTCAGACATAGGCCAACAGTTGTCGGGCAGGTCCCTCGCAATCGACCAACCAACCTCTTTTTCCCCCGTGGTCGGGCAGAGTCCAGTCTGCCCGAGGAGCTCCTCGGGCTGCCCTCACGTCCTCCACATGTCCCTCACGCAGGGACACGTCATAAAGTAACTACCACGTCCTGGAGATTCGATCTCCCTCCTCCCGGATAGTGTGGAACAGTTACCCTAGGGCAAAGACCACGTACTGGTCTTCACAACGCCACGTCTGTAACACCCCAAATTTAATTGGAATATTTTAATTAATTTATTTATTTGAGAATATTCATTTTTCAGTGATTTTCGGTGGTTTTGTGGATTATTGAGAATTGTGCATTTTTTGGGTTATTTATTTTGAATAATAGTATGTAATATGAATTTATTAATATTATTATGAATTAAAATAAATATAAGATGAATAAGGGCAATGGGACAATTCAGAGGAGTTAGTGAGGGTATTATGGAGAAAGCCCAATTGTGAGGCCCAAGACTAGGTTTAACAAAAAGGAAATTGGAAAGGGATTAGGATTCATTTGTTAGACCGTGAAAAGTATTGAGACCAGAGCTCTGAGGAGAGGATTGGAGGCAGAAGCTTCGAGAGATTCCCTGAAAGATTTGTGAAGGCTTTGAATCGACGATTAAGGTATGGGGAGTATTACCTTCATGATTTTCCATGTATACCTTTCAATGTATTTAAGGTCGATTTAAGGTTTAATGGATTTTGAGGGTGGATATGAGAAATAGTGATCTTTGGCCTTCTTGGCCTAAATCTGTTATTATGAATCTAACCGTGGAATTCATTAGGGAAAAGGAAAATTAGGCCTTCGTGGCCAAAACCATGAATTGTTATTTGTTTAACCCTAAAGGGATAGGAATATTAGATAATGAGTAACTTTAATGCCTTGGGATAATTGTAGGGAAATTTGTGATTTAGGGCATGAATATGATACGGGATTGGCCTAATAAACCGTAGGTTTTGTGCCTTTACCGCCGTAAGACCTTAGGGATGACTTTGGGATGTTTCGGGGGCATTGGGGAAGTGAATCGTGTGGATGTTTGGGTGGATTTAGGTTCTGGTGCGTAGCAGAATTTGTTGTTATCGCACTGTTCGCCTAGTGAATAATGCTTCACCTAGCGAACCATGTTGTTCCTAGACTCGCCTAGCGAAGAATCCTTCGCCTAGCGAAGAAACTCACCCCAGACTCGCCTAGTGAACATGCCAGCGAATGTAGCAGAGTTTCGCGAATGTTGACTGTGTGCAGCGATGCCTTGATGTTTGATTCTGTGATTTCTTTGACGAATTAACATGAGTATGACTGTGAGTTTTATGTGATGTGTACATGATTACATGATGATTTTTATGATGTATTGATTGGAAAACTATGATGATATTACCATGACTTTGATGAATTATATTATGACATGAGATATGACGATGATTGTGATGATGATGAATATGATGAATGATGATGCACCATATTGTTACTATGAGGATAATTATTGAAGTGTGCATCATGCATTCATGTGCATCCGGACTTCGGTTCAGGACCTCGATTACTTTGGCTTCAATCCTATTGTATGGATGTGAAGTGTTTTGATGTGCTCCGGTTCTCAAGTAGAATCGATCCTATTGATGGGGAATATGGAGGGTTGATGGCTTAGTGTCCATCGCGCTATGATGATTGGTACCACATGCATTGAGTCTTGTTGCATTTGCATTTATGAGTCATTTGGAATAATTTATGATGTTGTGGCCTTTGAGGCCTATTGAAGGATATCAATGTGTTGAATATGAATATGACACCGTTTTATATGTTGATTTTTATACATTGATTATTATGAATCGTTTTACTCACCATGCATGTTTGAATGTTACATCCACATGGGTAACATGCAGATGATCAGGTTTAGCCGTGGACGTCATCGAGGATATTTTTGAAGTCTTTGAGTTGTTAGCCTTTTGGTTAACTTAGAGGGTCTTGCTCTAATATGTAACATCGGGTTGGGGTCTTTTGAGTTAAACTATGTTTTATTTGAGTTTATTTTGATTATCTTCCCGTATGAGGAAAACCTTGATTTATGCCTTTTGAGTTCCGCTGCTTTGTGCAATTTGATGTATTTTGGGAAAACCCGTTGCTTACGGAGCCTTGATCCTATTTTGTTGATTTGGGAAATGTACGCCCTTTTGGGTGGCTTTTTGTTGAAATGTAATAATTACTCTGATATCTATGTTATTTTGCCATAATATTTGTGGGATAGAAAAGGGTGTTATATTAGTGGTATCAGAGCAGGTCAGTCCGTCCAGCCAAGTTTTTATGTTGTTAGTCCCCTGTCAGTCAATAGTTGATAACGCGAAATCGTATATATATATTGACGTATAATTCAACTAATATTTGACTGGTTTCAATCTGATTTCGGGTTTTTCCATGTTATTTGTCTGATATTTTGCAGGTATTTGAAGATCATGTCCAAACAAAGCAATATGAAGAAAAGAAGCAATTACAGATGAAATATGGACGAAAACCAGATGAAAACAACATGAAAAACAACAGATGCGTATTTTGCTGATGTGACGACCGTCACACATCCATGACGACCGTCACACGGGTGACGACCGTCACACACCATGACGACCGTCATGCAGGCAAAAACGCAGAACTTCAGTAAACGTGCAAAAACCAGTTCCAAGTCCCAAAATAATGGACCACTACTTCCTATTTTCTCTGACTCCAAGTCCACCTTCTGCAAAATATAACCGTTAGTATTTCACCTCTATAAAAGGGGAAGGAGGGGAGCTGAGAAAGAGGGCCGCATTCAGATAACAAAGTGCTGCCCAAATATTTTCCAGAGCAAATTTAGTTTAAGTCTTGTTTTTGTTTTCCTTTCTTTTTCCTGTATTTTGTTACTGCAATTTCCTTTGTACGCTCTA